TTGCTTGAAGTAGACGACGACGACAAGGAGGAAACTTTCTTCTCGTTTCAATCCAATTTTTCATTTTTTTTCTTTTCTGCTTTTGGGTTTTTCGTTATCGTGTGAATGCGGAATTCGTCCTTGTCGTTTTACTCGCAATCATATACCAATTTCTTCTGAATCCACACGCTCAATTTCCTTCTTTTTCGTAGAAATTTCCCGGCTACTGGGAATTATTTTTGGGGTGTTCGTTTTTCTTTTCCTGTTTCATTCGCGTGAGATTGGTTCAGATGAGATCATGAGAATTAAGAAGGACAAGAGAGTGGAAATTAGAGTCCGTTCGTCTAGTTTTGGGGGATTTGATTGGGATTTAGTCAGTTTCAAGTGAGGGGTTGAGGATGGAGAACGGCCATGAGGAGAGCTTGGCCGAGAGATTTTCCGGGATGGGTCTCAACGATTCTTCTCGTTTGCCGGAAAACGACTTTAAAAATGACAGCTTGTTGCAGGTTATCAAAGCTGTTGAAGCTGCAGAGACCACCATCAAGCAGCAGGTCTGTTCTCTCTATTTGAAATTGATTCAATTTGGAGGGGAAGTACTTCCTTTAATCACTCCATTTCCACGGAGTTCTGTGTATACTGCTGTAATGACATGTCTGATTTATCATCGTTGGGGAGAGAAATAGCTGTGAAAATATAAGGTTAATGAACTCTGGTTGATGCCTAGGGGGATATCTATATAAGTATCTGGATTGTAGGATTCGTTTCTAGTCTCTTAGCATTTCCCACTCCACGATGATGGTTCAATCCTAATCTGATTGATTATTTATTGGGGGAATCGTTTCGAACTAGCACATGATTTAGCAACATCGATGGTTTATGTTTGTCATCTTAGACAGTGTTCTTTCTCTGAGCAGGTGGAGGAGAATAGCCGTTTAAAGGCTGAACTTGAGAGAAGTACTTTGGAACTTGCTAAATATGTAAGTATTTTGCGTATGCATTTTCTTTGGTTAATGGACAAGTAATTCACAAATTCTTGAGGATCCTTTCCATTATGGTATGCGTTTACTACCTCTTTGATCATATATGGTGAATTTGTGATTTACATGGCAGTCTTGCTTTTGTTCTCCATCTTGCCTAGAAATCAGAAGAATCATTGCCTCAAACATCTAATCTTGGAGATCACTCAAATACTACCACTGTGCCGCCCCTGGTTCACCAGCCAGTTGACTGGAAGCAGAGTGTGATCAAAGCTTCGGATGCTGATTCATTGGGCATGCTGGTTCTTCATCCCCACGTGAATGCTAATGGCGAAGAAGCTACTGTGAGCAATCGTATTGAAAGCCAGTCTGAGGGAAATATGATTAATGGCTTTGTCAGAGAAGCTATTGGTGGTGCTGGCCCCTCTCAATTTTATTCGTCATCTACAGTATCATCATCTCCTATGAGGTACTGAAACTCAAACTAGCACTCTGGAATGTAGGCAATTTACTTGTAAATCTTATGGTTTACCGGATTTTCATGAATACAAAATGTATAATTCTCAATATTTGATTCCTGATAGAACGCGGTTGGAAGGAGAGCATGTCACACATATTGATTCGTCTACTCATGGATGTATGCCAGTTGGTGAAGTAAATAATTCGGGCAATGTGTGGAAGCAGGTATCCATCACACTTACTACGTCTTGGTTTTCTTTTGTAAATGAAAAATTATTTTCCTGACCATGTATCTGTTCAGGACCTCATACGCAAGGTCCAGGAAAATGAACAAGAAATTTTGCAGTTGAGGAGATATCTTACTGACTGTTCTGTTAAGGTGAGTCCTGCTAGACATGTGAGAACACTATCGGGCTTTTATGTTCCTTACTTCTGTGGTTCCTTGGGATTTATTTCTGGTTGAGTCAGGTTTCTTATGATGCATATAGTTCCTGTCTAGTTTTTATCCTTTATAAGTGAACAGAACAGTAAATGAAATCACCTAGGGTTTAGATCAATAGGAGTTTGCAATAAATGGAGTAGGATATTCACAGGAAAAGATAGGCTTGCTGCTACTTAGAGAGGCCTGCAAATATCATACTCTGTTTCATCGGAGAAATGGCACTCTTAATTCATCCAAAAGAAAGATAATTTTCGTATATTTTAGATGTCCGATCTTAGTCTTAAAGAGCACAAAACAAGAGCAAAACCTAAATACCGACTCAACCACAAAGAAAGCCAGGCAACCATACGAGTAAATGACATAATCAAATCAATAGCCGTTTATGCATGCTGTTGGTTCATCCTTTGCATTCTTTGTTGATTTTATGCTAAATCATGTGACTAACGTTTTAGGTATTTTTTTAGGAAGCCCAAATTCGCAGTGAAAAATATGTTCTGGAAAAGCGAATTGCCTACATGCGTCTGGTAGGCGTTTCCTTCTTTTATTTACATACCTGTTTAATTCATCTCGTACTAAATATTTTTAATCTGTAAGTTGTTTGGACGCTCAGGTATTTTTGCTCTTGTAACCAGGCATTTGATCAACAGCAACAAGATCTTTTTGACGCTTCATCAAAATCTCTCTCTTACAGACAAGAGATAATTGAGGAGAATATACGCCTAACATATGCCTTACAGGTACTATCGTCTTGTATCTTTGGCCTCTCACACTTCAGTGTCTTTTTATTTTTGGATCACTACATAATGCAACTGGTATTATAACTACGCTAAATCTGGTTAATTTTAAATTGAAGCGAAATATGTTTTTTTTGTTTCCAGGCTACCCAGCAAGAAAGATCTACATTTGTATCATACTTGGTGCCTCTTCTATCGGAGTATTCTCTACAACCACAGGTTTCTGATGCACAGTCAATTGTTAGCAATGTGAAGGTCAGTTCCAAAATCTAAAGTACCATCTCTTGCTATCTTTTATCGTTTTGTCATGCTTGTGTCGGAATCTTAACATTTTTGTTTTGTTATTCAGTTTTAAGTATGGACCATCTTTAGCTTCTGTCTTTGAGTTTTAAACCTATACTGTAACCTATTAGTTTGATGGGTTTCGCTGCATTATACTAGACTTCAAAGGAGTGGTTCAACATCCTTCACTGGAAATGTTTCAAATTCGCAGCACTTAAAAGTTGAAACTCACAGAACCAAACTATAATGTAGAAAATGTTTCATGTAACGGTCTCGTGAGTAACTATTGATGGCCTTTTGTTGGCCTCTCAGCAGCGTAATTTAGAAACTATTCTTCGTTTTAGTTCTACATGCAAATGGCCATTACTTGAAGTCTCAGTGAGTTTCATGGATAAAGAAGCATAAGCACTTGTTTTCTTGTCTACGAATACTAGAAATATGTGGAGTCGATGAGAGCCAAAGAACATAGAAAATCTGGATAGGAAGTTAAAAGACTGATAATATTCCCTGCTTGATTATATACAGTATAGTGAAATTTTTCTTTCATTTCTTATCCTGTGAACCTAGTGAATGACGTTTACAGCTCTGGTCATTTATATTCAGGTTCTGTTTAAGCATCTTCAAGAAAAGCTTCTTCTTACTGAGGTATGTTATGCGGGTATGGGATTATCTGATTTTAAATCTTTTTGTCTGCTTCATTTGCGGTTGCAGTATATTCCTAGCATGGAATCTGCTGTATTTCATACTGATCGATAATAGATAATTCTTTCTGATAATTTTCATGTGCTAGACAAAGTTAAAGGAGTCAGAATATCAATTAGCACCTTGGCAGTCAGATGAGAACCACTCAAATGATTCCCCTTTGGCTCCATCGCGTGCAGCTGGTGTAGCGTTGACCCACTCAGTACGTTCATATTCCTCAGTGTTATATCATAAGCTTAAGTGAATTTAATCTGAAATTACGTCTTGTGCTTCCACCAGACAAAGGATTCCCTGTATGCCCATGATCACACAGCCAAAGACTGGGATTCAGAGCACCGGCATCAAGAAGATCCAGGTAGCTCAGCTGTGAGGAATTACCATCTTGATGGTCATATAAGGGTTTCCCCGCTGGTGAACAGGTTAGTTTTTCACTGCTATGGTTGCTGTTCCAAACTGTCTGCAAACTACGAGCATCCACCTCAGTATTTTATGAAGTCTATACATGTAGTTGCTAGAGCATTGAATATATCTATCGCCCAATGCATATAATATAGGGTTGGGATCCTTAACTTGTAAATCATCCAAGGAACTACAAGCAAAGCATTTTGCTTCTTTCTCTTTCTTTGGGAGGGCTGACTTAGCTACCGCAAGGGTCGAAAAGGAGTTAATTCTGGTTATGGAGGAACAAGTCTGTTACGTCTTACAAGTTACTAGTATTTGATTTAAG